TTCAAACACACAGGTTGTCATGGCACAGGCTTAAAACATTTCAAAGATTTGTCATTTTGTCATAAGGTTGAGAAGTATCAGTAACAGCAGTTAAAAATGTAGGACTTAAAGTAGGTCTTGTTTTTTTGAATATTGCATGTAGGTACTTAAAGAGCAAATGTTTAGTAGTAAGTGTTATGTTAAAAGAAGTCTCTGTGTTTTCATGTATTTTAAGGGATACTCTGGCCAAACCTAAAATGTGACAATGATATCACCACATGGGTAAAGCTGGCTATAGACAAATCTAAGTGTGCCTGGTTCAGCTACTAGCTGAACTTCGAACAGTGTGTGGCCATCCCTGTTCAACAGAAGTCAATCATTTGATCGAATTCTGTTGGATAAACAAGTAGGAAAACTTTTCTCGATTAGTGGCTGTAACCAATAGGCTGTAGGCACTGAGCAATGTATTAATACAATGTCCTGGCAGGGGATTCCTCCATCTACCTTGTTTGTGTTGAGGAGGAATCTGTATAGCCAGTTTAAGTCACATGCTCCTTCATACTAGATATTTCCTTTGGCCCCTGGCACTGAATGGAGCAGCAGGTGGGTGAAGGGAAAGTAATGCTGACATTACACCTGTGGAGTTTTATTTAAATGAAAAGAAAAAAAATCACTTATATGACCATTTAATGGTGCCTTCATATTAATTTGAGTAACATGTCAATGTCTCGAATTTCATGGACCAAATGTTCTATTTCTGGATCAACCTTGGACCAAATGTTTCCTTTGGCTCCTGGCACTGAATAGAGCAACAGGTGGGTGAAGTACCATGTTACGGTCTCAATGTTTGTAGCACAAATGTTCTACTTCTGGATCAACCTTGTACCAAATGTTTCCTTTGGCTCCTGGCTCTGAATAGAGCAACAATTGGGTAAAGTACCATGTTAATGTCTCAATGTTTGTAGCACATATGTTCTAGTTCTGGATCAACCTTGTACCAAATGTTTCCTTTGGCTCCTGGCACTGAATAGAGCAACAATTGGGTGAAGTAACACAAATGTTCTACTTCTGGATTAACTATTAAGTTAAAGAAATACTAATGGTTCATCTAAAAAAAAACAAACAAACATGTCATACCTATTCTGTGCAATGGTTTCGGAGCAACCCTGTTCCTCCTATTCTTGCCCCCCCCTTTGGTGCTCCTGGCCCCTCCCCCTTGGGGGCACTCGTGCTTGTTTTCTCCGAGCCGCCTCTGTGTGTCTATAAGATACACAGGGTGTGGCTGAGCCATGTATCCTGCTCCTTCTTCACTGGCTGTTACTGATAGCAGCGGGAGCCAATGGCTCTCATTGCTGTGTGAAGAGGGGGAGACCTGGGAGAGCTGCTGCTCTTGTGCACATAGCTGGATCGAGATCGGGCTCAGCTGAGTATAGGTAAGGGGTGAGAGGGGAGCTGCACACTGAAGGTAAAAAACCTTCAGCCTTAGGAACCACTTTAATGGACATAATAAATGGGCATAGGGCTAGTTATGATTTTTCTTGGGAGAAAATTCAGTAATTAGGAATTCGTTCATTCCCATTAGATGCGACAAACATGGTTCATCCTTATCCTTCAATTTTTTCCACTTGATCTGTTCAAAACTGATTATTGAATTGTCCCCTTTAACTCTTAGTCAATTAAATAGATGTTTTGAAAATCACAATTTTCTGATGAAGTTCTACATTTGTAAGGCCAACATTAGTATATACTGCTGGAGGTGGGAGGTTGTGTGTTTATTTAGGGACAATTCTGTGTTCATAAAAAGGCAAGCAAGTCACCAGGAGTGGGATCCCTGCAGGAAATTGTCTCCACATTATAAACTTACCATGCCTTGTTCCACTGTGTCTCCCTTTGTGGAGACAACCATCTGAATTGAGAACCAGAGATTTGATTCCTTGTCTCAGAGCTGTCCCACTGATCATTGGTGAGCTGGTGGCGCAGTATTCAAAGAGCAACAGGAGATGTGGACAAAGCACAGATCACCAAAACAAATAATTTAAAAGCAGTTAGATCCTTGCAGTGCAGGTCCTTAAGTACAGCTTCCACTACAGCAAGGAGAACCAGGAACAGCACAGGACTGACTTTACCAAATTACACTTCAAATCACTTGGGACTAACAGTCACACAGTCACACTGCAGATATACAGATTTTAGGTTTATAGTTACCAGGAGCAAAACCAAGAGAACCCAACTTAGCCAAGTATCATGTTTATTGTTGTGGAAAGGGAAATATACTGTATATAACAAGCATCACTGTTGTACTTTCATCACATAGATGAATTATTGCAATTAAGGTGGGGACATCATGCTCTTTTGTACAGTTTTCAGTCCTTGTATCATGCAGTTATTTAAGGGAAAACTGGTCCTGTGATACACTATTATAGGAAGCATGTTTTACTATTACATCCAACTTTTAATTGTACAAATTAACAAATAAAAAAAAGAGAGATGGCTACAGTGAGTCATTTTAACATGCTCTGCAACCCCTTACCCCTACATTTAACAGAAGCCACTTGGTAATTTGGGTTCTCTGTTCTGCACCTCGACTCCAAAAACAACCTCAGCCCCTCTGACACACATGAGTGATTGAAAGTTCCTGAAAGCATTTATAAGAACATTAGTATTGATACCTTTAACTTGGTTGTGAATTAGCACCAGGAAACAGACACAGGACCATTTAGCTGTAAATGAACGCAATGTATCGATACAGGTGAAAATGAATGTTAGTTTGAGCATAAATAACCACAGAGAAGATAGGTTCATACACAGTCCACGAGACAGTATAATCACTATGTCAAGAAAGCTTAGAGTAGAGTTTCATACTATTAGACTGGGATTAACTCAAGAATCAGTGAAGTCAGCAATAAACACTGCATATTAACATTACATGTCATTTAAATAATAATACTATAGCTAGTCTAGAGTGCACTCAGGGAGAATGGCTAGGATATGGTGCAAAGTCCCTTGACAGGTATCTCTCAGCATAAGCTATAGGTGAAGGTCTCTGTGTAGCAGCTGTAAAGGGGTGATCTTTAGTCCTAAATCTTCAGCTGGCTAGCGTTGGGGCACAGTTTTACAGTTGAAATTCAATCCATCTATAGCCAACTTAAGCCTACTAGATTGCTATATAGTCAGTTCCTAAAGGGCTCAGTTTCTCTAGCAGCAGATAGTAAATCCCCACAGCAGCAGCTCACCAGTTCCAGTGATATTGCAACCTACGAAATGCAGCTCTTTCCCCTTCCTCCTGGCAAATGCAATTCAATATCTCTTGGTTACAGTAGAGTCTCTCCTGTGGACTACAGTTCCCACAGTGCAGTGTTGCAGCCTATTCAATTCTTCCTGCTCAGCAGCTCCCTCCTCATGCTGATATGGCTGTTAACCAGTTAAGCACTGCAGGGCAGCAGCTAAAGAGAGAAGCTGCAGCTAGTGTTTCTCTCTCTCCATTCTAACCAAGCTTCTGGCTACAATTACATATCATTTTGAACATTTTGAAGGGAGGCGCTGCCCCTTTCAGCTCTGCTGCCCATATATGCCTTATGATAAATGCAGCCTAGTCGTGTAGATGGCTGTACATCTTTTATTTGTCTAAGTGCAAAGTACCTAAATAAATACCTAATTTGTTGATTTTTTTTTATTTACCATCCTAATCTAGTATAAGCATATTATGCAACACTATATAGCTTAACCAGAACAATTCACATGACTCCCTCCCCTGAAGGAGCTCACATATCCCCGGAATGCACTCACAGCAAGAGCCCAAAAAATCTGTCAAGTTAAGCGCCACCTAAAAAATAAAGTTTATACAAAACAAATGAAAAATACGTACAGCGGTTTGGCTCCCAGCGCTTTTTGGAGGCATGGGTGATGCCAGCAAGCCTCCTGGAGTACCCACAATCCTACAAGAATGTGCTTAACCACCTGCCGACCGCAGATAGCCGAATGACGGCTACACTGTGGCCGGCCAGTTCTGGGAGGGCGTCTTATGACGTCCTCCCAGAACGTACTCTCCTGCGCGCCCCCAGCGATCTTCGTGATCGCTGTGTCCTACGGACACAGCTGATCACGTGATGTGGTAAAAGGCCAATCACAGGGGCATTTTACCATGTGATCAGCCGTGTCCAATGACACGCTGATCATAGGGAAATGCAATTGCCGGTTCTCGGCTGCACTTTCCTCACACTGTCAGAGCTCACCCAGATACTTACCTGGGACTGATCTTGACCTCTCACCACAGAGATTGAGGCAGCAGTGGGAGTTATTGGCTACTGTAAATTAAGGCCTGCAGGGGGCGAGGCTGAGCCATGGTGTATGTGTCAATAGACAAGAGCAGCCCAGGCTCAGGATTGAGCCCATACACCTGCCCCCCTAAGAAGTGGCTTGCCAGGAAGGTAGACACAGAAGAGGAGGTTCGGATACTCTCTGTGCAAAACTTCTGCAAAGAGCAGGTATATATAACATGTCTGTTATTTGAGAAAAAATTAACTTTACAAATACTTTAACCACTTCAATTCTGGACACTTTCACCCCCTTCCTGCCCAGGCCAATTTTCAGCTTTCAGTGCTATCACACTTTGCATGACAATTGTGCAGTTATGCAACACTGTACCCTTAGGAATTTTTTTAGCATTTCTTTTAGACACTATAAAACTTTATTTTGGTGGTATTCATCACTGGGATTTTTATTTTGGTTTGCTATATAAATGAAAAAAGTCCAAAAATTAAAAAAAAGTGTTTTTCTTATAAAATTTTACAAATAAATAATCTTTCTTCATAAATCTTAGCCAAAATGTATTCATCTATCTTTTAGTAAAAAAAAAAAACCCAAATTAGTGTATAACCAAAAATTATAATTTTTCAAAAATTTTTTTTCACATTTTTATGGTTTTTTTTTTTTATTATTATTATTATTATTATTATTTTACATATATTAGGCTTTACATACATATTACATACATATTAGGCTGTATTTATATAAAGGTGTAAAAGCAATCATTTCTCCTTCTCTCTGGCTGCATTCTTGCAGCCATTGAGAAATACTGTGAGAGCTGTGATTGGTCACAGCTTGTCACATGGTACAAGGCTGTTGTGAATAGCCTTGTACCATGTCACCTCTGTGATCATTCACAGATTTCACTAGTAGTAAGCAATGATGTCAGGAAGTGACTATTCATGTGATCACTGATTGACCAATCAGTGATCACATGATCAGGACCTTACACAGAGGTTCCGTACAACGGTTGGTATTCCACCGTGTCCGGAGGACACAGCGGGCACCGGATCGCGGTGCTGCGTGCTCCCAGGGAGCGTGCACAGGCAGAGAATGTGGGAGGGACGTTTATAAACGGCCACCCGCTCCTGCACTGCTCCTGTCCAGCCGTTTATAGACATGGGCCAGACGGGAAGTGGTTAATTAGTCTTTAAAAAAACTGTTGCTGCAACATACACATCCTGACAATGTTATAGTTTAACCTACTCCTTGTCACTGTCATTTTTACTTTAAAGATCAGCCTACATGAAAATATGGAAAAAAAAACAATAATGAAGACATAAAGAAAGGGATTCATGTACTCATATACTCATTACATATATTAACAACATATTTTATCAAAATAAAATATTGTAGCAGTTCTTAAAATCCGCACAGGAGAGCTGCATGACTCCAATCCAATTATTTTCACAATAACATAATAAAGTATGTGTCCCATGTTCTGCTTCCTATATTGTGTACCTTTGAAATGGGATTAGATTCACATGTATGTAGTCAATTGTTTGAAATGAATGATAATGATGACAACTGTATGGCCCAAAATACACTGTGGCTGTTGATTAAATTGCACAGCAGTGACAGGAAGAGTCCAGTCCAATACAACTGTGCTTTATGTGGCCTTTGTGTTTATTGACCATACTTGATTAGCCAAGAAAATGGGTGAGCAGACACAAGGAGCCCTCCTTCCTGCGTGAGGGAGCCCAACAAAAGCCACTGGGAGATGTAAATGGTACAAACTTATTAGTGTTAACTGCCAAATGCATCCTGATCTCTGTTTCTATGTTAGGTAATTAACTCAGGGTTTTATTCTAGTTTGCCGGGTTTTTTGTGCATTTCTGCTCAGAAACATAATAATCTATTAGATTCTACAGCATCTATCAAAAACTCAAATTCCAATTTCAGGTAAACTGACACTTTAGGGCTATTTTTTGTATTCTTATGCACACAATCTTTGTTTTACAAATACACATTTAATACACGGCAAAGATATCAAGAGCACTCTGGGTTATCTAAAGAGAAAGCACAGTAGCAGCAGCTGGTCTTCAGGCACTGCTTTGTCGGATTGTAAAAGCCTATTAAGATAGATGATCACAAAATGTCGGTTTACCCAAACCTAAATTACAATGCTAAAATAATTGCTATGCTACCCTAGATGCAAAAAGTTCCACTTTCTCCCCCGAAAGTCCAAAGTCAAGATAACAGTCTCTCGGCATCTGTGATATCATCAAAACAATGAAATTCTTGCTTCCAAAATTAATCCACCTTCATAGAGGCATTCTTTATATCCATGTGTATCTCAAAAAGAAAAATATTCTACATAGTGCATTACCCCATTAACATAAGGGAATACAATACCCACCCAGTGCTAATAAAGTGTCAAACCACTCAGTGTCCACTTCTAAGTGGCTATATTAAATACCCTTACCCTATCAAAACTTGCAATAGTGTAATTTTCCTTTAGGATAACCAAAAGTGCTCCCCTTCTTCACCGCATCAGTGTAATGTGAATTCACTCCCCGTCACCTTACACACCATGCACCTTACCGGACTAAACACTTCCACAAGCATAAATGGCCCTCCTCATCCGATAATCCCTGCCGTGTTCAGTCTCCATATGGCATCATGTGTCAGGGATCCTGTCGCCGTGCAGCGTTACGACGGTGACGGATCCCCTTGAGTAGTGGTGCGAGTGTGCAGGCGCGGGAGCATGCGGCCGCGCATGCACAGTAGTGCGGGAAACTCGCGCACACGTCCCGTCAGGCGGGCTATTTAATCCTGCTTAATAGTAAAATCACTGCCTTCTGGTCTACTACGTTCCTGCATACATTCCTGATCCTGATACCTGTATTCTGCATTACCCAACTAAGAAAGAACTCCGCCTGCACTGACCCCGGCTATCCCTGACCATTCTTTTGCCTGCTCCTTTTGTACTTACCTGCCCACTTGATAATGACCCGGCTTGCCTGACTCTGCTATATTATCTTGCCTGCACCTGCACTTGACCTGCATCTTGTCGGCCACCATATTTACCTACCGCTGCACCCACGGCTCTGCATCTGGCCTACATCCAGATCACCGCCATACCTGTCGGCCACCACATCCACGCACCGGTGCTCGGTCCCAAGACCCGCATTCTGACTGCCGTCTCACCTGCTCGCTGCTGCACCTACATTCCTGCACCCACACCTGGCTTGGTCCGGATCTCCTGGGTCCCCAGCTACCTGTCAACAGCTTCAAGATCTACACGGCACTCCTGCCCTTCCTGGCTCTGCGCCCTCTGTTCCCACTTCCAGGAGCTCCGAGCGGGAGTTGTAAGAGGACGCCCTCTCTCCACTTCAGGCTCCCCAACCAGGTACGGACTGTTGTCATAAACAACAGGCATGTCACTGCAGATTGTAAGTAATGATGGGCTTGATGTTCGAGTCGACCGCAAGTTCAACTTGAACATCAGCTGTTTGCGTGTTTGACGAACATACAAATGGTAAGGGTGTTTGGCAGGCTGTTCACTCGCCGCTCCCCACAATGCGCTGCACTCTCACAGTACATTATGATTCGCCAAATCAATGCAGCTGACTGTAGGTCGGGTGCAATTCTTTGGCCAATCACAGCACAATTGGTTGGAGACATCCCCGCTAGCTCCACCCAATTGTTTACATCTGACTGGCAAATGTCAGATTGTGGCGAGTGCTCAGCAGGTGCGGACGGGTCGGCGGGTGTTGTTTTTTGTCGGCATGTCTGCATCGTTGTGACAATGCTGGATGTCATGAATGATGATGGATTAGAAGGATGGAACCATTTTTTATTTTATTATTTTTGACTCAATTTTGCTCTTTAGTGAATTAGTAACTCTTACTCATTCACAATCGGGGGGGGGGGCAGCATCAGGGTGCCCCCTTATTTAAAGGGGTACCCTGATGCTAATGAGCTCCCCTGCTTGCAGACCCCCACAACCAACGGGCTAGGGTTGTAGGGAAGAGGCCCTTCCGCCCCGATGCCGGGGGCAAGAGGCCTGGTAAGCTGCAAGTGGAGGGTGAGGGGCTGCTTGTTTGTCCCCCCCTTTTCTGCCCTGGCAGGCCTGGAAGTCGAGGGTCTGGAAGGACTTTTAACCACTTCAAGTCTGGACACTTTTACCCCCTTCCTGCCCAGGCCAATTTTCAGCTTTCAGCACTATCACACTTTGAATGACAATTGCGCGGTCACGCAACACTGTACCCATTTGAAGTTTTTAGCATTTTTTTGAGACAGATAACATTTTATTTTGGTGCTATTTATTCACCACTGGGATTTTTATTTTTTTTGCTATATAAATGAAAAAGTCCAAAAATTTTGAAAAAAGTGTCTTTCTTATAAAATTTTGCAAATAAATAATCTTTGTTCATAAATCTTGGCCAAAATTTATTCAGATATTTTTTTAGCAAAAAAAAAATAACCCAAAATGAGTTCATAACCAAAAATTATAATTTTTCTAAATTTTTGTTTACATTTTTATTTATTTTTTTTTTTTTTATATTATTTTTTTATATTATTTTATTTTATATTTTTTTTTACATACTGTCACCCTAGCAGTACAGTGTCACCATAGCGACACTGTACTACTTGTGAGGGGTTATGAAAATTTTTTTTCTTTTTTTTTTAACACATTGCTTTTACACCCATAAAGGCTGTAAAAGCAATAATTTCTCCTTCTCTCTGGCTGCATTCTTGCAGCCATTGAGAAATACTGTGTGAGCTGTGATTGGTCACAGCTTGTCACATGGTATAAGGCTGTTGTGAATAGCCCTGTACCATGTGACCTCTGTGATCATTCACAGATTTCACACGTAGTAAGCAATGATGTCAGAAGTGACATCTTGCTTACTACTCTGCATGTGATCACTGATTGGCCAATATGTGATCACATTATTGGGACCTCACACAGAGGTCCCGTACAACAATCGGTGTTCCACTGTGTCCGGAGGACACAGCGGGCACCGGATCGCAGTGCTGCGCGCTCCCAGTGAGCTCGCACAAGCAGGGGGTGGGGAGCGTGCACAGGCAGGGAATGTGGAAGGGACGTTTATAAACGGCCACCCGATCCTGCACTGCTCCTGTCTGGCCATTTATATACATGGGCCTGACAGAAAGTGTTTAAGGGGACCTCATGCACTTTAAAAAAAAAACGGCTTTGGTATGCTGTTGTTTTTTGTTAATTTACAAAAAAATGTCAGTCCTGCTGCAGCAGGTTCTATACATTGTGCAGGTAGTTTAAGGGGACCCCCCAGGCATAATATTTAAATTATTTTTTATTTTTTTTTTTAACTTTAAGCAATGAAAAATGACTGCCCCTTTAAAAACAGTACTTTTTGAAAAAAATTTTCACTGATTCATGTCCCTCAGGGCAGTACCTGAGTCCCCATGCCCCTTTCATGGCCAATAACTTGCATATAAGCCTTCAAAATGGGCACTTTTGAATTTACAAATTCGAGTCGCATAGACTTGCATTAAGTTTGAATTTCACGGTTGAACATTCATTAGGTTCGAATGTATGACCACAAACCGAACAGTGTGGTGTTTGGCCCATCACTAGTAAATAGAAAGTGAAATACGTGCAAAAAGGAGCCTAAAAAAAGTCAAATACTACCTGGTTAAACGTCTGTATAACATTCATGCAGAATTCAATATTTACCTAAGAAAAAAAAAAAACTCAAAAAAAATCCTTACCATAACAGAAAATTAAAAAATAATATTAAAAACCTGCTCCAAATTTAACTTAGGGACTAATTCTTGGTAAAGGGGAGTCACTTTGATGAGTTGTGTGGACAAATTTCAACTTTAGCTAATGGGTTCTATAAACAAAAGACATCTCACTCTAGATTGTAAAGAAAAAGTGAAATACATGCAAAAGAAGCCTAAAGCTTCATGTACCAGCTGGTTAAAACTCCATATAACATTCATACAGAATTTAATATTCACCTGACTATGAAAAAAAATTCCTTTGAAAAATTCCTGACCAAAACACAAAATGAAATAAAAAAAAAATAAAAAACCTGCTACACATTCCCTTTAATGAGAAACTCACTTGACAGAGGAAAGCTCCTGGAAAGCTAACCTCTCCCAGAGCCGAAGGTCAGAACTTTCTGCTGAGAAAGAGATTTGTGTGCTCTCCAGTAAGTATTAGCAGGCAGAGGCAGGTGACTACAAAATTAACATCCATCGCATTCATATTTTCTATTTTGTGTTCATTATCTTAACTTGACACAATTTACAAATGTGCAGCAGATGGTGTTCCTAGTCACTAGTGCTCTTAAAAAAGAGGCATGGCGCTCAAAGCTTGGGGTGTTAACTGCATAAATATTTCATTGCACGGTACAGTCCCATGCTTACAGGGCTGAAAAGAATTTGATGTGACAGCATTAATCAGTGACACCCAGAAGGGGCACGGGGTCTTTGCTGACACATTAGTGGCTCACGAGGATGACATGTTATTTTACATTTCTGAGCTTTAATTACCCATGTAACTGGATTCCAAAATCGCTGTCCTTTTGTTTTCCAACCAACAACCAACCATTTTAATAATATTCATATTGTTTGCCAACGTAGCTAAGAGGATAATACTACTGCTACTACTACTACTACTAATAATAATAATAATTTCCATTGGTTTTGCTGAATTCAGAAATGATTTTGTATTTCACAATATACACTTTGTTTGCAGACATAATTTAAATATATATTTACACACGCTAAAGCACGACCCTTGGCACAATAGGAATTATAATATTTTGAGATTAATTTAAAGCGGTATTAAACCCAACAGCCAACATTTATTATATTGCAGTTTACCAATTCTTAGTTTTCTTTTTTAGGCTTTCTTTCCTTTATTTTCACCTGGTGATCCAGCCAGTATGTCTGTTGTCTTTCAACAGAAAAAGCTATCCTGTAAATAGTTAGAGGGTTGAGACAAACCATTTACCACTGATGGGGTTGCTTAAAATGATCAGCTTTCATTTATTCATGTAATACCTTTATCCCTTAAGGAAAAAATGTTACTGTAATTGCTTGTATAATGGCAGTGTGAGCTGAAGTTTGGCTTCAATTTGTTAACGCATCTAAATCTCCTAGTACATTTCAACACTTCTCACCCCCAGACTGACAATGCTGCTTTCTAGTGCTCCCCTGTGCTCCTTCCTCCAGAGTGGATGAACTCTAAGGCTTCATGTACATGGGACATTTGGAAAACACTTCTGAACGATGGAAACTGACTGCTGGAAAACGTAGGTTAAAAAATGTCAATTTAGCCGCTTTTGCATACCGCATTTATGTGCATTTGCGTTTCGAAGCATTTTTTAAAGATAACCTCAGGAGACCTTCCAAAATGCCCAGAATGCACTGAAAAACATTTAAAAATTAACTATTTCAGACATTTTGAGAGAAATAGAGAGAGCAGAAGCAGAGAGAGCAGTATGTGTTAAGATGACCTGTCTTTTCTGGTTGTAGTCACTATGGATCCCATCATGAGTATAATGCAGCACATTCTACCATTTGTTTCCTTCATGTGAAACTTGGAACTGACTGCACTGGTGTAGCGGGTCCATTTGAATACATGGAAAACACTTTGCATGCATTTCTGATGATGAAAAAAGGCTCCGGACAGCATCTGGATATGGAACAGTTAAAAAACGCTTCTAAACGCAAATGCTTATAAACGCGGTTAGTCGTGTTTACATGCATTTACAAGCATTTGGAGTTTGAAACGCTGATAAAATCTACTCCTGAACGCAAGTTTTGTGCGTTCAAAAAAACAACTGTAATCTCAACTGCCTGTAAACGACTGTAAATGACTCTGTGTACATGGCAGGGGAGGACTGACCATTTGGAAACTTGGCACTGCCCAAGGGCCTGAGGTCAGTAGGGGTCCCCATGAGATGCCCCTGGTACCTTTTTCATAGGCTTTTTTGAGTTTGGGCAAGGACACAAGGGCCCCATGATCCCCTATTGCCCGGGGGCCCGATGAGTTGTCAGTCCGCCCCTGGTACATGGACACATAGGAAAACATTAGGATGAGTTCAGGGGCTGCTAAAAAAACGCAGAACAGCTCCAGAACGTCAGTTTATCAGCTGCAGTCCTAAGACAGGAGGTGTGTTACCGGCCAGATCACCCATTGAAAACAAAGGGAAAGGCCTAACAAAAAAACAAATGCACATTAGTAAATTGCAACATATTAACTTTTTGTTTTTGGGTTTAATACCTATTTAAAGCATATCTAAACACATAAATAATAATCCAATATTTCTGTAATGTTTTAGTTCTTATACAGTATGTGGTGGTTGCATTCATTTTTTTTTCACCCTTCATTTTGACCTTTTAGTCTTGCTACTTATACACTTCGAGGGAGACTAAAACTGGAGTACTGGTGCAGCTGTGCATTGTAGCCAATCAGCTTCTAACTTCAGCTTGTTCAATTACGTTTTGGCAATAAAACCTGGAAGTTGATTGGTTTCTATGCAGAGCTGCTCCAGGTTTAGTAAATCTCCCCCTTCTTGTCCTAGGGGGACACACATTGTACAGTACTTTATTTATGGAGGATTTGCATTGTCACCCTAGGACATAACAAATGAGCACCTCCCTATGTCTTCTTCTCCATGACATTGCATGGAGGTGTTTTTTAGTCCATAGAGAGAAATGGGAACAACATTACCCACTTGCCCTCCAGAGGATTTACCCCCCCTTTCTGACCAGGCCATTTTTGCAATACAGCGCTACGTTATTTTAAATGACAATTGCGCAGTCATTCAATACTGTACATAAATGAAATGTATGTTCTTTTTTTCCCCACAAAAGTAACTTTCTTTTGGTGATATTTGATCGCATGTGTGTTTAAAAGTTTTTGCAATATAAACAAAAAAAGACCGACAATTTTTAGAAAAAAACTATATTTTTTACTTTTTGTTATTAAACATGTCCAGTAAAAAATGTTTTAAAAATCTAATTTTGTCATATATTTAGACCAAAATGTATTCTGCGACATGTCTTTGCTAAAAAAAATCCTGATAATAGTAAATTAATTTGTTTACGTGAAAGTTATAGGGTTTACAAATGGCGGTATATATACTGGGATTTGTTTTTTATACTAGTAATGGAGGTGATCAACAACTTATTTCAGGACTTTCTGACACTGGGGGGGGAACTGACTTGGTGTCACTGACATCCCCAGTGTCACCAATACAGTGACCAGTGCTCATAAAAAGCACTGACACTGTACTAATGACACTGGGCAGGAAGGGGTTAACATCTGGAGCAATCAAAGGGTTAACTGTGTATTGTGTGTGTTTTTCTGTGTGCTGTGTGTGTGTTTTACTGTGTCAGCACACTGCTTTGTATAGCTCTGCTATGCTATGCAGAGCCATACAAAGCATTGTGCAGGAGCTAACAGGGCAGAGATCTGTAGTGTTTACATACAGGTCTCTCCCCCATCAGTGATACTCGGAGATCACAGGGTGTCAGCGGAGAATCACTTGCCGGGACCTGGTGATCGACAGCTGAGGCTGCCAATGGTGGTGTGGTTAGGGCATGTGCGCGCCCCCTATCCGAACATGCAGTATCATGTATATATATATGATTTTGCGCAGCCCTGATGCCTTGTAGCAGTATTTCTGCTATAGGGTGCTGGGAAAGCAGTTAACTAGAATCAGTCAGCAGTGAAGCCTAGTATTTACTAAAACTGAAGGGCAAAATCTGGTGCAATTCTGTATAGAAACCAATCAGCTTCCAGGTTTTATTGTCAAAGCTTGATTGAAAAAGCTAAAGGTAGAAGTTGATTGGCTACCATGCACAGCTGCACCAGATTCTGAGTGCTCCAGTTT